CGCAAGTAGGCATACAAAACAAACACAATCATTGTTGCCAGAAGTGTTTGTATCCATGTTATTATTCCTTTGTTAAACAAGGGCCTTCGTGGCCAAAAGGTTTTCTGAAAGAAAGGGTTTACTGGGCCATAAGCTAGCTAGAAAAAGGACCAGATCCTAGGACATACCGTCTAAACCCCCGGAAGAAGGGCTGGATGGAGGAGACAAACCTGTCCACTGTCCTGGAGCTGACGGGGCTCTTTAAAAGGTGAAGCGAGCCAGTTCTAGGATAGGATGACACAGAGAAAATTCTGAGATGTCCTGAATTAAAATGCAGCTGTCCTGAGGGTAGAAGGGAGAGAGACAAGAGGTTCATCAGTTAACAACTGTGTGGCAAAACCAACAAAAGATTGCTTACATTACTGAATGTTGAAACTTTGAATTAACTTCCAGGTGGCTATTTCTGCATTTATCTAAAGAGAATAGCCAGGAGCCAATGAACGTCCCCTCCCCGCCTCCCCCCAACCCCAGGAGCCTAAGCTTCTTGCTTACATTTGAACTTTCCAGACTGTTGCCCATAACCAATCCTAAAGAACAAACATGTTTTCCTTGCATTCTGCACCTATCCCAGAACTAGCCCCATTCACCTTCTCCCATCCCCTTCATCTACAGCCAATATAAATTCTTTTTTTAAAATATATTTTATTGATTTTTTACAGAGAGGAAGGGAGAGGGATAGAGAGTTAGAAACATCGACGAGAGAGAAACATCGATCAGCTGCCTCCTGCACACCCCTCACTGGGGATGTGCCTGCAACCAAGGTACATGCCCTTGACCGGAATTGAACCTGGGACCCTTCAGTCCACAGGCTGATGCTCTATCCACAGAGCCAAACCAGTCAGGGCCAATGTAAATTCTTTCAAAACAACTTACGTCTTTCTTCCCCTACTTGATGTATTAAGAGCCCTGCTGCTGGTGATTTAGACTTCCTGTCCCCGGTCTTGGTATTTTTCTTGCCTGCATTTGGTTTAATAAACTCATTCTTTTTAAAAAGCTTTCGGCCGTGATAATTTTTTTTTTGTTTAACAGGTGCATAGTCTGTACAGAAGAAATATGTGCTGCTTCTGGACTGGATGTGGGCGATATTTATATTCCCCTTGGTTTACTGGGTCGACTGCCAGCAGCAAAGGGCTGCTTCCGTACCCCTAACCTGCTCCTGAGTCCTGGGTCTCACATCTGGCTTCCTTCAGATGTCATGTGACCTCTCCGGTCTCTCTCCTTTCAAGGACACCCGGGCTGCCTCTTTAGCTCTCCCCTGGGACCAAAGACATTCCAGTCTCCCGGTGGGGGGAGTCTGTTGCACAGAACAGCCTCCTTAGCAGTCACCATCTGTAAGAGCTGTGGGATGGCCAGCGTGGCCGGCCTGTCCTCAGCGGGTGGTCTTGCAGCCCAACCCGGCTTTACAGAAAGACGACATATTTGGGATTGATATTTCCTACGGAAACACAGAGTGCCTAATCCCTATCAGAAGCGCTGCCGCCTTGTGACGTCCCCACTGTCAATGACTGGAAAGGCTGGTGAGCAGCGCCTCCTAGCGGAATTCTACTGCAACCACAGGCAGGGAGTGGCTATGGTACAATAGTAGTACCATCCCCATTTTACAATTCGGGAAACTGAGGCTCAGTGTATTTATTATCCCAGGTCACGTGGCTGATAAGTGGTAGATCCAAGTGTGTCTGATGACAAATGAACTATGATCATCCTACAAAATCCTTTCCTCCTCTCAGCCTTCTGGTTTCTATCAGTCGCTGTGTGGTTGGCAGAAGGCGCTGTGAACAGCTCGAGGCTGCTCTTGGGGACAGCTGTGTAGAACTAGGGCGCTGAAAATTAAAGGTAGCATAATGCAGGCCCTCTAACTCAAGGAGAGAAGGGACATTCACATAAATATAGATAGTTACACTTCAGACAGCAGCTCGGTTCTAAGATGAAAACCCAAATGACTATTTTAGTTGTGTTTATAGGTCATGTTGTATGGGATAAGACCATTTTTTAAATATTAGAATCACATTCCACTTACTCTAAGAGAGGATACTGAAAGAGAACTCCATTGAAAGAATAGAAGGTTTGGGGTCCCATCTCACTCTGCTCATATATGATCAGATGAGCGGAATCACTGGAAATACAGTCTCTCCCTCCCTCTTGCCTCTCTCTTTTTTTATTCAACACACAGGTGAATGTATCAATGTCTGCGCACACATTAGCAACTTCCCTCGATAACTCCAAACTGTGTGAGAAGCAGAGGTCCCCACGGAGCATTAAGAGGACGCATGCAGAACGACATCCACTCCATACAGGCAAGAGCTCAGGGGAGGATGTCTAAACTTGGCATTGAAGAATGTGTGACAGCATTTAGAAAGCGGGAAGGTGGGGAGGGCATCTAGGAAGGACAACGTGAACAAAGACATGGGAGCCGGGATGTTCAGAGCTCATAATTTAGGAAAACGGACTGGTCCAGGGTCGCTGGGTGTGATTCTATGTGATGGGGAAAGTTGGTGAGAGTGGCTAGAAAGGAGTCTGGTCTCCTCTCTATAGCCAGGATGTGTGAGCACATTCAAGGCAAAAGCCACTGCCTGGGCCTGGGGAACGAAAAATCTAATCACTAGAGGTCCTTAGAGGTCTTCTACGAGCACTCCCCACCACCAGCAGGTATACCAGGATACCAGTTTCCCTAAATCTCCTTTATGGTATCCCTCTGTGTGGGAGGGAACCGACAGGGCAGAGTGAATGCCAGAGCGAGTGATTGAGCCTCATTTCCCTCAGGTGCAAGATAGGGCCTCTGACTGAGCTCAGAGCACAGAGGATTGCTGTGAATGCCAAAGGTTAGGACCACGCTTTGGAGCTACAGGGACCAGCTGTGAGGGAGGACCTAACTTCACTGAGCCTCACATGCTCTTCAGTTATAATGGTTGCAATCATATTTACCTGGTATGAATGATATGAGGGTTAGCGGAACTAATCAAAATGCGTAGCCAGAGCGTGGCATATTAAATACGCAGTAAATATTAGTTATCATGGCTGAGAAAATGACGGCAATAAATGAGATTTCATTGTGTGAAAACACATGACTTGTTCCAGAAAGAGTTCTTGGGGGAGATTAGATAAATCGTGCAAATACATGCAATAAAAAAATCACGGGGACTCTTGAACCGGCAAATACCTCCAACACGAACGGCCTCGCCTCCGACCAGCAGGCCCCGCCCCTCGGTTTCCTCCGGCCCCGCCCCTCGAGCCCCGCTCGCTCGCGCT